TTTGGTGACATGTCTGCAGATAACTTGAAATGGGAAGCTAAAGGAATAGACACAGATTGAGCACCTGTCATATTAAATCTCTTGAGGACCTTCTCAATATAGGACCATTGGGACAACATCAGCTTTCCAACCCTTCTATCTCGAGTATTCTCCATCCCCAATATCTTTTTTGCAGCACCTAAATCCTTCATCTCAAACTCCTCACCTAGTTGCTTCTTCAATCGTGTAATATGTGACATGCTTTTAGCAGCAATAAGCATGTCATCCACATATAATAACAAATATACACTAGAACTATCTTCAAGCTTTTTGTAATACACACAACTATCATATGCACTTCGAGAAAATGCATTTTGAATCATGAATGTATCAAATCTTTTATACCACTGCCTAGGCGACTGTTTCAGACCATATAAAGATTCTTAAGCAAGCAAACACAATTTTTCTTATCCTGAGTAATGAATCCATCGGGTTGACTTATATAAATCTGCTCATCCAACTCACTATGCAAGAATGCAGTTTTCACATCTAACTGCTCTAGTTCTAAATCATGAAGAGCTACCAAAGCCAGTAAGACCCTGATAGAGCTATGCTTTACCACTGGAGAGAATACTTCATTGTAATATATCCCCTCCCTATGTGTGTAACCTTTAGCTACTAATCTTGCCTTGTACCTTGATGCTTCAACCCCTGGACTGCCCTCTTTTCTTTTGAAAATCTATTTGCAGCCTAGTACCTTCTGTCCCTTTGGCAATGGAACAAGCTTCCATGTTTGATTCTTATGAAGAGACTCAATCTCTTCACTCATAGCACCAACCCACGGGTCTGCTTCTGGACTAGAAATAGCTTCTTTATAGCTATTAGGCTCAAGCACATCAATAATCTCTGCAACAGACAAAACAAGCTCCACAAAATTAGCATATCCAAGAAAATTCCAACAGCTACGTTTGCAAACCTTTGTGGTGGATTGATCACTCTCTTCTCTCTGTTTGTTGCAATTCTATAGGGTTGTTGTATAGGTGCATCAACATTATCATCTTGATCAATATTTTGCACCTCACCACTTCCTCTACTTCAGAACTACTGGGCTGAGCTAGTGGAGATTCAATTTCTAGCTCTATGCAGTCACTGACACTACGACCTGTTTCTGCTATTGCCTTCTCCCTCTGACTGTCTAGTGAGGCAGATTCACTGAATGTTACATCCCTACTGATAATTAGCCCCGGAGTCTTTTGATCTGTGCACCACAACCTATGACCTTTCACTCCAGTTGCATACCCTAGAAATATGCACTTCTTTGCCCTCGGCTCAAGTTTTCCATCCCTCACATCAACATAAGCAGGACAACCAAATATCCTTAAATTTGAATAATCAGCAGGCGAAGCGGACCATACCTCAAAAGGAGTTTTGAACTTAGTAGCTGTGGATGGAGATTTGTTGACCAAATAACAAGCTGTATTGATTGCTTCAGCCCAAAAATCTTTGCTAACACATGAGTGTGAAAGCATGCTTCGTGCCCTATCACAAAATGTTCTATTCATACGTTCTGCAATACCATTTTGTTGTGGTGTTCTGACACAAGTGCGGTGTCTCACTATGCCCTCCTTGCTGCAGAAATTATCGAACTCAGAATTGCAAAATTCCAACCCATTGTCAGTTCGAAGACGCTTAACTTTTCTTTTTGTCTGCCTCTCAACCATCGTCTTCCATTTAACAAATGTCGAAAATGCCTCATCTTTTGTTTTCAGAAAATACACCCACACCATCCTTGAGTAATCATCAATCAAAGTTATAAAATACCTAGCACCACTCTTGAAGGGAACTCTGTTTGGACCGCACAAGTCAGAGTGTATATAATTTAAGTTGTCTCTGGTCTTGTGCTCGACCTTCTTTATGAACTTTACCCTTGTCTGTTTACCAAACACACAATGCTCACAAAAAATTCAAAACTTGATTTTTGCACCCATTCAGCAAATTCTGCTTACTCAACAAAGACAATCCATTATCACTCATATGGCCAAGTCGCAAGTGCCACAACTGAGACTAATTCAGATCACTTTTCCCAGAAGCTACAACAGTTTCCCCTTCAACTACACTGGCCTGAAGATGATACAATTTAGAATGTAGTTTAACCCTTCATGAGTACCATGGAGCCTTTACACACTTTAAGTATTCCATTCTCGAAGTGAAATTTATATCCTTGATCATCCAAAGTCGAAAGAGAAATCAAATTTCTCTTTATCCGAGGAACATGCCAACGCTCAATGTTTCTAATAATTCCGTCGAACATTCTCAATTTGATGTTACCAACCCCCTCTAATGGTAATGGATTATCATCTCCCATATAGACAGTCCCACTTATTTGCTTGTAAGTTGCAAACCAATTATTGTGTGGATACATGTGAAAAGTAGCACCAGAATCAAAAACCTAAGAATTCTGCCCATGACTAGAACTCACAGCCATAGTCACTATCATCAGAATTATTGCCAGTGTCAACAATATTTGCCGAATTATCTATTTTCTGCTTCCCTCTTTTCTCCTTCAGCTTAGGACAATCTCTCTTGTAGTGACCTTGATCCCCGCACTCATAACAGTGTTGCTTACTTGCTCTAGACTTTGATCTGGTGGTTGACTTTTTCCTGTTAAAGTCCTTTTGTTGTGTTCTTCCTCTAATCACAAGACCCTCGCCCTCAATTCTGCTGTCTGGAAAGCTCTTTTTTAAGACTTTAGATTTTAGTGCATTACTAACATCTTCTAGTGAAATGCTGTCTTTCCCATATAGCATCGTATCGGCAAAAGTATCATAATACGGTGGTGAAGAACATAACACAATCAAGGCCTGATCCCACTCTCAATTTTGATATCCACATTCTTCAGGTCCATTATAATTGAATTAAACTCATCAATGTGAGTTTTAACAGGTGTACCTTCATTTATACAGAGATTGTATAACCTCTTTTTCAGGTAGAGGCGGTTTGTTAGCGATTTCTAGAATAGAGATCTTCTAGCTTCTTCCACGCCGTTGCTGCAGAAGTTTCTTCAGCAATTTCCCGAAGAACGCTATCTGTAGCGCTCATGAAGATCGCACTCAAAGCCCTCTCCTTCAGGTCTGCCTTCTCTGTCTCCTTCATCTCTTCAGGAAAATCCTCATCAATTGCCTTCCATAACCCTTGTAACACCAGGTACGATTTCATCCTAATCTTCCATAGACTGAAACTAGAAGCCCATCAAATTTCTATACTTCGTACTTTGTTGAAGATGATGAAGACATCTTAACCCTAGATTATATGTAGAAACCCGAACTTTGCTCTGATACCAATTGTTGCGGAATATCGTGGGTTAACTAGCACACAATCACGCATAAAACAAATAGAGAAGAAAAATCAACACAAGGATTTAACGAGGTTCGGCTAAGCCTAATTCTCGGGGCAAAAGCAGAGAGAGTTTTTCACTATAAATGAGAAGAAAAGCACAATACAATCTTTAGAATCCCCAACTACAACCCCTATATATAGATTCCAAAAGGTTCCAAACGAATAAGAGAAAGGTTTCCCAATTTGACAAGTACTATAGGTTTTCCTTTCCCAAATCTATTAGGACAATGAGTTTTCTTAAACCTATAGGGACTATGAATTTCCTAAAATATAAGGAATTAATTCAAGCCACAAATAACAATTTTCAATTAGTGTCATAATTATTTTTTGAATCAGTAAGTAGTGTCATTAAGTTATTATCACTAATTTCCAAAACTAATTGTATTGATACCTTCATTAGAAATAGTATTAGATATTCAAAAGTTTTATTAGACTTTTAAAATTATAAATTTTCTCATTTCATTTCTTAAAATATACTTATTTTACACTTCAAAATTTTAAAAATAAAATACAAAATGTTTTACAAGATTATTTTCCTATATTCAAACTGTAACGAAGTTATGTTGAACAATTTCCTCCTTCCTCACTTCTATGCGTTCCTCCACAATTTGTAGGGCACTCCCTCGAAAAATGATGCATATAGATAAAAAAATAAAAAAATATGTGTATATAATTGAGAAAAGAAGGGTAGTTTGGTGCACCAGAAATCTTATGTTTATGCAGAGTTCGAAGAAGGACTGTAACCAATAAACGTGAGAAGTGCTTTTTTTCAAAAGTGTTTTTCTCAAAAGTACTTTTGGTGAGAACCAGTTTGTGTTTGGCTAATTAGTTTGAAAAGCACTTCTGAGTAGCATTTAGTGTTTGGCCAAGCTTTAAAAAACTGTTTCTAAGTGTATTTTTCTCAAAAGTGCTTCTCAAAATAGTGCTTTTGGAGAGAAGCTACTTTTTTCTGCTTCTCCAAAACTGCTTCTGCTTCTTCTTAAAAGCACTTTTTTTTTCCTTCCAAAAGCTTGGCCAAACACCTCAATTTTTGCCAAAAGTGCTTTTGGCAAAAAAAAAAAAAAAAAACACTTTTGGCCAAAAAGAAGCTTGGCCAAACAGGCTATTAGATAGTCTACTTTTTTTTTTTAACTGTGGTTTCCGGCATCGCTTTGCGAACCCGACTAGCTGTATCCACCGGGACCCGCTGTTTCAATGCGTGCACCACGGTTAGTTCCACAGGGCTCTGGTGACGCAGCCGGTTTGTAATGCCTCCAGTGGCCCTGCGGGGGCTCGAACTGGCGACCTGAAGGACTTTGTCCTCAGGCCTTTACCAATTGAGCTACCCCTCAAGGTTTTTAGATAGTCTACTTTAGTGCACGCAATAATGAATGCTTCCACAACCCACTTAACCTATAGGTCACACGATAATGGATACGGAAGCGTGTATATATAAATGACTTTTAAATAAAAGTAAAAGCAACAAATGAAAAAAAAGAATAATTAGAAGGACAGGCGGTTACGTGAGAGGGGGAAGTTTGACATTTTAGGACAAGTTACAGGGCTAAAGTAGTCATTAAATCAATTAGGGTTAATTGCGTTCGCCTCCCTCAAGTACAAAACTACATCCGATTCAGAGCCACAAAGTTGAATCTCTCTCTTCGCGCCCCTCCCTCTTTCTCTCATCTTCAACTTTACCCTAATTTCTTCAATTCTTCAAAAATTTGCTGCAAATATTGCCTCTTCTTCCTACATCATCAGAAAGGTACTATTATCTACTTTTCCTCAATTGCCCCAAAGATTTGATTATTTGCACATTCTCCACCCATGAATTTTCTTCAATTCTATTTCGACATGTACGAGGTTTTTCGAACCCCATGTTTTTTTTTTCTTCTTCTTCTTCTTCTTCTTTACAAGTGTCTCTCTCATGTTTTAAGCTCTTACGTGTTTTTATTTTCATGTGTGTTCCATATTTATTGACTTATTTGTTGCTAGCTATAAATTTGTGTTGTTTAATTGTGCCCTGGATAAAGCTTTGATTTTATTATTTGAATTGGGAATGTAGATTGATTTTCATGGTCCATTTGAACTTATTTATACAGATGATTGATATAGCTAATACCAACTTTGTTGTTGTAATTAAAGTCTTGTCTTTTTTTTTTTTTGCTTCCCTTTTTTGCTGTTTTTGAATTAGTTGAGTTTGTTCCTAGCTTTGAATTTTCATTGTTTAATTATGCATGTGATAAAGATTTGAGCTTTTTCCTTGAATCGGGAATGCAGGTTGATTTTCATGGTACAATGAAACTTATTGTTATGTATGATTCATATCAATAATGCGAACATTATTATTGTAACTAAATTCTTGCTTTTTGAGTTTATGTTGTGTGCACTGACGGTGAAAAAATGATTTATATACTTATGTCACATAAAAGGTAAATCTATGTAATAAGATTAATTGGTAATGTAGATAAATCGTTTGTAATAAATGTTATTGAATGATGGTTTAAAAGAATCGTTATGACCGTCGGTGTATATAACTTAAATCCACCTTTTTTTTGCAGTTTTTGAATTGGTTGAGGATTTTGTGCTGGCCTAGTGATGGCTTCTAAGAAAATAATTGCAATATGTCAATCTGGAGGAGAGTTTGTGACAAACAATGAGGATGGAACTTTGACGTATACAGGTGGAGAGGCTTATGCTTTGGACATTGATGACCAGACAGTTTTGGCTGACTTTAAGAAAGAAGTAGCAGAGAACTTTCAGTTTGCTACTGAAGGAATGACAATAAAATATTTTCTTCCTGGGAATAAGAAGACTCTCATTACTATATCTAAAGATAAGGACCTCAAACGTATGATTAATTTCTTCAAGGATGCTGATCAAGTTGAGATTTTTGTAATTTATGATGAAGCTGTTGTGAGAAATGTGCCCAATGTCTCTGCCAGTAGGTACGTATTTCTCTTCTGTTTTAGTTCAGTTTATTTGTTTTTTTAAACTCATATGATGTAGACAAAAGAGGTCTGAATGGAGTGCAATGTATGTCGAGAATTGGTATAATCGGCTCAACCAGTTTGGGATTGAGGTGTAATAGTTGTACTCGGTGGCAGAGCCAGAAATTTTAACACCGGTTATTCAAGAAAAATGCAAACTTGCACAGTGAGTGAATACACTTAACTATCAAGGTATTCAGCAATTCATATGTAAATACACTCAAACCTCTTTATAATGATCATCGTTTGCCCCGACATTTTTTGGCTGCTATAGTGTAATGCTATTGAAGGGACCTTGAAGCAACTGCAAAGTTGTCTCCGTGTGACCTATTGGTCACGGGTTCAAGCCGTGGAAGCAACCACTAATGCTTGCATTAGGGTAGGCGGTCTACATCACATCCTTTGGGGTGCGACCCTTCTCCGGACCTTGCGTGAACGCGGGATGCCTTGTGCACGGGGCTGCCCTTTTTGTAGTGTAATGCTATTTTAGTTAATACATAGTATAAGATAACATGAAAAATCAGTTCCAAAAAAACTTGGCCGTTAAAGTGAAATGTTGTTATAAAGGATGATTGTTATAGAGAAATCTGACAGTATATACCAAAAGGATTTTTTTTTACCCTATTTGTGTATAATTTTGCGACGAAGAGGATTCAGTTGAACCCCCTAGATCTGCCACTAGTTTTACTCAAGTGGCATGAATGGAAATGCTTCATTGAATCTTTGCATGGAAAGTTTCTGTTATGTAGTTATTTTGGTGGTGTTTTGTACAGAATTTATTCTAAGTGCTTTGTTATGCTGATTCTTTTAGATGTGAATGAGTTTGAAATGTATGCTTTCTCTTATTGGATTCTTAAAATGTTAATGGTTTGCTTGCTTGTGCAGGTCGACAACTGCGTCAGAGGCAGCGCTTACTCCTCCCACCCCTGTGGATATGATCCATTGTGATGATCTGCTTGGTGCTAATGCTTCCATTGACACAACTCCCCTGTGTTCCTATCCCGGCAACAATGAGGAGAACATGGAGAAGCATCGCAGAGCAGCTTCGCAATGGGAGAACACAATAACTGGTGCGGGTCAAAGGTTCAATAGTTTTGCTGAATTTCGTGAAGCTCTGCATAAATACTCAATTGCCCATGGATTTACTTATAGGTATAAGAAAAATGATAGTCGCAGGGTAACCGCTAAATGCAAGGCTGAAGGTTGTTCTTGGTGCATATATGCGTCAAGGTTGCCTACGACTCAGCTAATATGCATTAAGAAAATGAATGCGAAGCATACATGTGATGGAGCTGCTGTTAAAGCTGGGTACCGATCAACGAGAGGATGGATGGGTAGTATAATAAAGGAAAAGTTGAAGGTCGCTCCGAACTACAAGCCCAAGGATATAGCAAAAGATATTGAGCGTGAATATGGCATTCAATTGAACTATTCTCAGGCAAGGCGTGCAAAAGAGAAGGCAAGGGAGCAGCTTCAGGGTTCTTTCAAAGAGGCATACAGTCAATTACCCTTATTCTGTGAGAAAATTAGAGAAACTAATCCTGGTAGTGTTGCTACAATTGCTACTAAGGAGGACTCGAGTTTCCATCGTCTGTTTATTGCCTTTCATGCCTCAATATCTGGTTTTCAACAAGGTTGCCGCCCTCTTCTTTTCCTGGACAGCATTCTTCTCTATGCAAAGTATCAAGGAACACTTTTGGCGGCCGTAGGTGTAGATGGAAATGATGGCGTTTTTCCAGTGGCCTTCGCAGTTATAGATGAAGAGACTGGCGACAACTGGCATTGGTTTCTTTCAGAGCTTAAATCTGTTGTCCCAACATCCTGTCCAATAACTTTTGTTTCTGATTCCCAAAGAGGTATAAGAGAATCATTGCAAAATGTGTTTGGTGAGCAGTATTACCATGGCTTTTGTCTGCGTTATCTTGCTGAAAAACTTAATAATGATTTAAAAGGGCAGTTTTCACATGAAGCCAGGCGCCTTATGATCCAAGATTTATACGCTGCCGCTTGTGCCTCAAAGCGTGAGTCTTTCGACCGGTGTGTTGAGAATTTGAAAGCTATCTCACCCGAAGTTTACAATTGGGTCAATAGAAGTGAGCCTGAACACTGGGCAAATGCATTTTTTGGAGGGGCAAGGTATGGCCACTTGACATCCAACATCAGCCAGCTTTTTTATGATTGGGTAGCGGAGGTGAACGAGCTGCCAATAACTCAAATGGTTGATGCATTACGAGGTAAAATAATGGAATTGATCTATACTAGGCGTGTTGGTTCCAGTCAGTGGGTTATGCCATTGACCCCTGTGATGGAACAAAAACTTCAAAGTGAAACGTCACGAGCAAGGTTGCTTCAAGTGTTACCCTCACACGGGAGCACATTTGAAGTGCGCGGTGAATCTGCTGAAGTAGTTGATGTTGATCAGTGGGATTGTAGTTGCAGAGAGTGGCAGCTTAACGGGTTGCCATGTTGCCATGCTATTGCTGTTTTTGAATGCCTAGGGAGGAGCCCCTATGATCATTGCTCCAGATACTTCTCAACTGAGACTTACCATGTAACATATGCCGAATCAATTAACCCCATACCTAATCTCGAAAAACCAATAAAAGGTGAACCCGATATGGACCATGTGGCCATTGTTGTTACTCCTCCACCAACAAAACGTCCACCTGGCCGACCAAAGATGAAAAAGGTGGACACTTTTGACATAGTCAAACGTCAGATGCAGTGTAGCAAGTGTAAGGGTCTGGGCCACAATAAGAAGACATGCGGGTAGGTGCTCTGCCTCTATTCTCTGATTATGGAACTGAAAAACATGCTTCTTTCAATCAGTAAAATATATTCTAGTATAGCTGTTAGTCTTGCTGATCAAATATATTCTCTCTTGTATTCATATATTATCTTTGCCTCATCTCTAGCACTTTGATTTCCTTGACGTGCGATTTCTTCCCAAATCCTTATTAAAAAGCTCATTGACTGGGAAATACTTATCATACTATAGAAACACATGAAAGTGTGTAAAAATTTAGTACATTCTCATAAATGCACAGCACTTAATTTAGTATTTTAACACATAGGTTTGAAGAGCTGAAGCATCCCGTACAGAAGTTTTTGTTACGAAGCATGAAATAATATTTCGCTTTATTTCTGTTATATGTGCTTGTTTGCCCTAGACCCTAGTCATGTTATGGAATCCGATTTTACTGTGTGCACGACTACTGGTGTCACTGGCTGAACTGTACTTTTGTCATCTGGAAACAGGAAGGTGAATAATATCGATGAATCGGACCCTCTGCTACTCACAGGATTGGTAACTGGAGAACTTGAAGGGAATGCAGGATCCTTGGTCTCATCTTCTCCAATGTAGTTAGAACTGGTATATTTAGGTACATTTGATAGATATCCTTTGGGACAAAAGTTGATAGAATGATTTTTGGTAGGTAGCATGGTGATTTTTATTTTTTTTTAATTGTAGTTGGTTTTGTTAGTTAGAATTTTTCGTTTATGAAGTTGTGCTCGTAAATTAATTATGAGAAAGCTTATCCACACCCGATGTTCTTTTACATACGTTTTTATCACTTAATCACAGTAATGTATATTTTTTTAGCTCAAAAATTATTAATTAACTTTTTTAAAGTAATATGGTTTGGTGTAAATACCGGATATTGCATTACTAGCATGGAAATTTCATGAACCCAAAAAAGTCGTTAGGGCTAGGTTTAGAGCTTATGCATGAAACATAGTGAAAATTTATAGCTCCGAAAAAAAATAGCTTTGATGAAGAAATTTAAATATAAATTGAAGAAGGAGAAGATAGTCATGCTTGTCAAATATTCCCTCCGGTCCACTTTAATTGGTTTTTTGGCTCTTTTCGCACATGTTAAGAAATTCACCTTTTAACATTAATTAACAATAAAATTGACAATATTAATCTTAATTTGCTCATTGAAAATATAACAAAGTACTCCTAGGTTCTTTACTCTAAGGACAACTTTGAAAAGAAGAAGTTAATTACTTCTTGATATCTTGAAAAAATTAAATATTGCGGATCACAAAGAAAAAAATCACTTAAAGTGGACAGGAGGGAGCAACAAAAAGGTAAAGTCGTCTTCTGATTTTTACTTGGCCAAAATTTACATGGGAAATCCTTGAGTTATATCAATTAATTCTCCATTTAATGTTGGGATCTCTAAGGGAATAACCCTAGCATATTTCCTATTATTATGAACTAGTAGTCGTACCCGTGCGATGCGCGGTCAGTATTAAACAATATTAGTAAAATTAAATCCTAATCAGACTTGTTTGAACATTAGATCGCATTACTTTAATAAATTTAAATTATCATCTTATTTGTCAATACGATATACCCAATAATAAAATCTCTATTAAACTAAAAAGACTTATATAGTTATTGAAGAACTTTTTTGTTTTATACTTTTCTTTATTATATTGTCCAATGTTTAGTAATTACATATAGTTAATAAAAATATTTATTAGCATGTTACTTTGTTTAATATTTTGGTCTGATCGTTTTTTTTTTTGTAATATGAGAGAAGATATATATTTTATTAATCTTAAAAAAAATTAATTTAAATTTTATTTTGTTGTTCTCGATAATATTATCTGAATTTTAATGAATAAAGTATCTATTAAATTAAAGGGACTTATATAGTCATCGAATAATTTTTTTGTTATGTATTTTTCTTTATTATATTATCCAATATTTAGTATGATTGCATTGTTAATATAATTGACTATATAAAATCCATCAATTACTTAATATTGTTAAATTGGCATATGAATTATTAATAAATTTACCAATTTTGTATAATAACTACTCCCATATATATATTTTGAATTTTTCATTATGAAATTATGAGTTCTATTTATAACTAAATTTTCCTACATGAGAAATTTATTTAGTATATGTATTTTTACGGTATCATTTGATTTATTTATTTTTTTAGTATTCTTCATTTATGAATAATTATTTATTACGATTTTAGTTATGTGTGTATGTACAACTTTTCTCATAAAAATTATAATTATGTTTATAAGTATTATATATATATATATATATATATTTGTTCTTTGGTTGTCTAATTGTATTATCCATTATTTAATTTTGTTAAATTGACATATGGCTTATTAATAAAAAACCAATTTAGTATAATAACTACTCCCATATACACACACACACACTACTACAACTATATTAGGAAGAAATTACTCTCCAATTTAAATTGGTAGTTTTTTATTTTTTGTAATTTTTGTTTTTTATTGTAAAATAATTTTAAAACTCCTATTTGAATGAGTAGAATATTTTTTTTTTGTATTTTTATTTTTTATTGATAATTATAAGATATCTATATTTATTAATTCAAGTAGTATAACCAATTAATTCAAAATTTAAAATTCAATAAAAAGTTAGTTAGAAAAGTAGTTTATTTTGTCTTAACAATGCCACTTGGCTTTTTGTGGTTAAGACACTTGTCTTAATGTAGTGGTTTTGCTTCTCCTATTCTATATAGATAGATTAGTCATAAATCTCGTCTCATTAGTTTATGGGATCTTTACCAGAAATAGTCGGTCATATTCATTATTTACTTTTTCCTAGCTATATACATACTCTATACATTTATTATACACACATAATACATAAATTATGCATATATATACCTCCACAAACTATTTTTAGTTTAACTAGTTGGGTGGGCGGCTCTTACTTATATTAGGCTTATGATACTAATTAACTATCCACTTATCTAATACTCTTTTAATTCAAATTTATTAACGTAATTTAACATTTACGAAGTGATGAGTGAGGTTTGCTTTAGTGTAGAGCACCTCCATAATCAATAATAGGTTGGAAATTTTGAGTCGAGTGAAGAGTAAGTGGAAACATTGTTATTCCTCTTGAGTGAATGGGAAGTAAAAAGAATCCAAAAAGGAGTTAGAGAAAGCACAATGTCTTAATAGATTGTTATAAATATTTAAATAATACAAATTAAAGATGGAATAAATTGGAGTAGTTAGTCTTAAAATGTCAATCAAATGTTAAACGATATAAAGCAATAATAGCTTCTAGTAGTCTTTCGAATTGTTGGAGGGTGATATTTTTCAAAAGATCAAGCTTTTTCTAAGCAACTAAAGTTAGTAATATTGGGGCCTAAAAAGATTATTCCCGAATAAATGGGCAATAGTTAGGAGAGGTGCACCAACGACGAGCAAGACGAACTGACTAGGATCATAAGGTTAAGATAAGGGGGTATTTCGTTGTGAAAGTGTCACATTTAGATTGTTCTTATTAAAGGAAAGAGCCGAATAGTATCGCCAGTCGCATAGGGCGACGGGCCAGGCCCCTTTGCCTAGCTGCCCATTGCTAGAACTTCCGGCACTAGAGGGAGTGTAATTTTCATTTACCCATATATAGTGATGGCTAAACGGATAAAAAATAGTTATCCACTAAAAATAGGTCGGATAATGACATTTAAAAACGTGTTAAATATGGATAAAAACCATATTATCCACTTAGAAAATGGATAACGAATAGGTTTCACTTTTACATTTGTAAAGACTCAAATTGGGGGTTCCTCAAGTTTAGGAGACTAGGAATTCTCCCAAAAGTGATCTTATTCAAGAAGTCATGGATAATATGGATATCCATGTTATTTGCCGTTTACCTATTTTCTATCTGGATTAACTATTGGTCGGGTCAAATAATTTATCCATTTGTACATAACCCATTTTCTAGCCATTCATATCTGACACGACCTGCCCGTTTGCCACTCCTACCCATATACTTGGAAATTACAAATATCTTCTCCTTGACTAATAAAAGAATCACTATTAAATATTGTGGTGGGTGTATGGGTCCAAATTTGCACGACCACGACCACGACCACGACCATTGACGAACACGACCAACGGCGAGATCCTCGCAGCTCAACATGGGTTCGATAAGGGGCGTTAGGAATATTCCTTCGAATATTCCATGTAATATGCTTTTTAGGATCTAGAAGGGGTTTGTCCCTTATATATAGAGGGGGAATAACTTTGTAAAGGGGGGTCGCTTCTTTCCGATTTCTCTCTAATGCAAAACAGTAATTGTAATACCTTTCTATCAACATTTTCTAACGCTTAATTATTGATCCTCACAAGATCGGAAAAGATTATCCGTTGTGTTCATTGTATATCCTCTTGGTTCTAGAGATTATTATACTTAGCTAAGATTTACCCCATCATTTTCTCTGATTGATTTATTCAAAAGGGTTGCAATATATTTTGAGTCAAACAATTTGGCACCGTCTGTGGGGATTTCTATAGCCAAGATTTTAGTTTTATCTAGATCCTGGAAAGAAGTAATCGACTCTTCATAGCCTCGCAAAGCTCAGCAATCGCAGGAAAGGGAGAGGCAAGGTTAAAGGTAATAGTAGGTGTCACGAACAACCTGCTAAGCTCCATCGACGAAGCCGTTAGGGAAAATGATGAAAACGTAACGCCCAACACTACATTTGAGGGAGATACCATGTCCACCCCTCACGAAAGCGTGACTATCTCACGCGATAAGGATACCTCAACATCCGCAGCAGGAGAAGCACCACCAGCTGTGAAAAGGCTATTAGAGGAATGGTTGACAAACACCTTGAGCAGCATACTCGATAAGCCCACTCAAAGGAACATCGGAGGCACAACACTTGCAGAAACTGCAGCTATCGCCGGTGAGCCGAAAACTCCACTCACAGGTAACACTCACATTATCGTTGATGCAGGTAATGATACACTCACGGCCATTCTAAAGAAAATGGAAGATATGGAAAACGAGAACAAAACGCTCCGCAATTAGATGAAGGAACATCTGGAAAGGGTCAATAAAATACCGGGCGCTCCGAAGTTGCTACCAAAATACGATGCAGGCCGATTTGTCGAGCAGCCGTACAGTGAAGGAGCAGCTCCCCACACTATCCCAAAAACATTCAAAATACCGTCATATTTGAAAATATATGACGGCACTACGGATCCGGAAGATCACCTAATCCACTATATCACTGCAGTAAAAGGCAACAATTTGTTGAAAGAACAAGTTCCCTCGGTACTGTTAAAAAAATTCGGCGAAACTCTGACAGGGGGAGCGTTGACATGGTATTCCCAACTGCCAGCGCGGTCAATATCGACATTCGAAGAAATGGCAGCCAATATGGTCATGGTAATAAAGAAGAACGAGAAGTGGCGGATGTGTGTCGATTTCACCGACCTGAACAAAGCATGCCCAAATGATTCTTTTCCGTTGCCACATATCGACCAACTCAACGATGCAACGACAGGGCACGAACTACTGAGCTTCTTGGATGCCTATTCTGGGTACAACCAAATCCTGATGGCAGAAAAAGAAAACCACCTTCATCACTCACCAAGGGACGTACTGCTACAAAGTCATGCCGTTCGGACTCAAAAATGCAGGGGCAACGTATCAAAGGTTAGTCACCAAAATGTTCAACGAACAACTTGAAAAGACCATGGAGGTCTACATCGACGACATGTTGGTG